CCCCCCCCCCCCCCCCCCCCCGATTGCAAGCGAAACCTTCACGAACAACAAATCGCACCACGCATGGAATATAGGTTTCTACAAACATGCATGTAATAGCGAGGTTTCCTAAACCCATGCCTGTGTGATTGATTCTTATTATGATGCATAATTTTAACTGACAGAAAGTACCTGTCAGGATACTGAACCAATCGCCTGAATTAATATGCCATCTTTTTCTTTGGCTCCTTGGTTTGATACCCAATGTTTGTAAGAGCGGCCAGCATGCTTGTGCAGGATTTATGTTAACCGCCAGTTGGACACGCTTGTACTTAACAGGTGATCAATGTCGTGTGATAAGAAGAAGCAGAAGTGTTTAATATGATTGATTGTTCAGTTAAAATGCCAAAAATGATGGTCCGTGAAAGAGTAGAGGTGTGGGTTAAAGTAGTTTGTAACAAAATAAGGATATTTTATGAGTCTGCGAAAATATGGAGTAAAACANTCTCAACGAGTGCAATCACACGCAAGGCAACAAGAGTTACATCATAATTGTTTTGGTCTTATGCAGTGAGCTGTTGTCACATCTACACATTGCAAAACTGAGAACCTTAAACGAGACACTTCGAATGCAATCGCATCTAGGGGTTACGTAATCGGTTTAATAACCGAAAAACACTGCACCCCCGGCATTGTTGATAGAAGTTATCCATTCCACTCTTCTCCAATTAGTGAAGTGAAACAAAGAAAAGGGTTTAAAACATCATCTCCCAATAATCCCTCGCTGGTTCACAGCAGACAGAGCGAGGGGAATCAGCGTTCAGATAAATAATAATCTTGTGATAAGGATTGACGGGTTCCAGTGCAATATTTATAGTAGGGTCTTGCGTTGTTCAGTGTAAGCTAACGGCACATTGTGCGTGTGTTGATCCTATATTCAAATCTCACTAAGAATTCCGGTTACCTGCTATTGGCATCACTATATTCCCCGTGTCTGCTGTACTTACTGACTATCCACTTCAAATCAAAGGGAATATGCATAAAGTGGCTGCCCACCTGTCTGGGACAGCTGCCTTGTCCTCAGTGGGATTCATCTTTCTTGCATACGTTGCTTCTTCTACACTAGATCTGAATAAAAAGTATTTGATTTGATTAGCATTTGCGCATACCTATGTTATTTCGCTCACTTGTTTTCCAATTTACTGAAGCTATATCTATATGTGTATAGAACTATTATCACGGGGCAGATGCAGAGGAACTATTACCCGAGTTATTTGTCCTAGCTGTCAGTACGGACTAGCGCGTTTTTGTTCGTATTTTGGTAATCGATGCAACCCAGATGACACCATACCGCTGGCTTGCCTCACACACTGCAAAAACAAAACGAGATTGCTACTTTTTCTGCTGACTCATAGCGCTTATGATCATGGGTCTAGAATACCGCGTACCCCACGGTGTACTACCTACCTCACTTACATCCGTTGCGAGGGTCACTGATCGGCAAATTCGTCGCACATGCGCAAACAGATCGTAAGTCGAAAACGATAATGAGAGAAATATCGAAAATCTGCGCGACTTGTGTAACTATGACCTGATGTCTCCGTGTTATCGAAAATCGTTCCCTTCGGCGGAACCGGGCTGATGACCAGACATATGTGCCAGACCGGTGACAGGAACCGGGAGAAGTCAATGAAGACGTGCACGCTCACAATCTCCATCGGCCACACGACAGACATTCACGCACAAGTTTACAAATGCGTTCGCGAGTTAAGCTGGAAGCTTACCGATAAAATGTGTGCTTGTAGTGTCATTGAGAGGAGGCGAGGTTGGGGTGCGGAACAGTCACATCGTCTGTTGTCTTCATGTGGATGTGTGCGTGGGAGGTGGTGGGAGACGTGGTGTATCTCTAAAGCGTCGAAACAGCTGCTTAGCAGTAGTTTTGTTATTTCTAGTTGACTCAACAAACAGTGAGTGAATAAACCACCGGTCAGTTAGATTCAAGTTCCAGAGAAAGAATTTGAAACAATATAGTCGGTTTCTTTCATGTCCCCCTTACTTTGTTCTTCGTACATTCCA